TCCAACAAGAGCGAGTAACCCACAGGCTTTGTTTGTCTTCATATTTTAAGATGGGGGTGGGCGGAGCTTTTGACTTGCTGAATATAAAGAATAAAAATGTAAATTATTGTTATTATAGGTAATAGTCGCCTTGTCACAAAACTTTAAGGCATTTGGAAATTACAGCAGTTAGTCTCTTGCAGAGAGGATGTCTCATGTTTCCACACAAATATGTTGTTTTCTTATAGTAGGAGCTTAGGAAGTATTTGTTGAATGAATGAACTCAATATCCAAGTTAGTTTTGATATTCCTAGAAGCAACACATAGCAATACAGATCTCTTGCTCTCTTTTTTTTCCCCACTCATTTTTATTAACAAGTGTCAAAGAACAAAATTACAACAAATTTAAAGATCTCAATTGGCTGTATTGTGACTCTGTAATGAAGTAACACTTCATTCCATAAAATAGAATGTGTTCCAATGAGCTGAGCAGAGGAGCTTGATCTTATAGACAGAAAAGGTTGAAGAAAGCAGAAACAAAGAACAAAAAGCAATTGGTCATTTGAAAGTTACTGTCCTTGTAAGGCGGGAACAGAGAGACAGTGCAATAGAAAAATAACTGACTATTTAATATCAAGTTACTTCAGGCCATTCTTCTTGTGTAAGGATTATGAGGTGACTGGGAATGGGAAAGGGGTAGAGGGAAGGGGAACTAGTGAGAAATCAGTAAAGGGCCACAAAAAATGATTGCATTGTGTAATGTTGAATATACTAATTATTCTGATGTGAGCATCACATATTACACACTGGTATTGATATTCAACTGTGTACCCCACAGATATGTACAATCAGCTATGATTCAATTAAAAAGAAAAAAAAAAGCAGAGGGAACTTCATTATCATGCCTATTAATGATTTAAACGGGCCTTTTTGAGAAATTGGCTGTTATCTTTCTCTCGCCATTTCTCAGAAGGTCACACCACAACTTAGTTTATGTTTGATGATGTGGAACTTAGCAGGGGTGACTCCGTTTTGAAATTTAACATGGTCTTTTGGGGCCTAGTCCAGAAACTTAGTCCAAAACAATGGCTGCATATAATTTTTATTTAACATGAGTAATACATATTTATTATATCTGATNACAGCTGACCTAGACCTCAGAGGAGTGATACCTTCCACTGCTTCTGATACGCTCCATTTACGATTAGGCAATGTGCTCTCTGGCAGCTGCCAGCTGTTCACTCCTCAACCTAATCTACACCGTCCGAGGTGCTCATCCATATAGGAGAAAAAAGCTGCATCAGTCTTTAGGTACCTCTTAGCATCTGTTTGTCGTCTTTATCCAACAAGAGCGAGTAACCCACAGGCTTTGTTTGTCTTCATATTTTAAGATGGGGGTGGGTGGAGCTTTTGACTTGCTGAATATAAAGAATAATAAAAATGTAAATTATTGTTATTATAGGTAATAGTCGCCTTGTCACAAAACTTTAAGGC